AACCCACAGAGGAGGTAAAGTATCTTGGACACTACATAACCTCTGACCTCTCTGACGACAGAGACATGTATCGACAGCAGTGTAAACTTTATGGCCAGGCTAATATGCTCGTTCGGAAGTTTCACATGTGCTCTAGAGATGTTAAAGTTAATCTTTTCAAGGCTTTCTGCTCGCCCTTGTATACTGCACAGCTCTGGTGTAGATATAAGAAAAAGAGTATGCGGAGTCTAAATGTGGCTCACAATGACTCTCTGAGGATTCTGTTGAAAGTGCCCAGGTTTTGTAGCGCCAGTGAAATGTTTGTAAATTGTGGTGCGAGGTCATGTGTTGTCTCCATCAGATATTGTATTTACTCTTTTATGTGCAGAGCCGTGAATCTGTCAAACCAGATCATCCAAGCTCTGGTCTGTCCAAGGAGGAGCTCTGTAAGGTTTTCCTCTGACCTATGGAGGCATTGGAGGTCCTGTCTGTACACCTGTTTATAATTTTACTGTATACATATGTTTTTTGTCTCTTTATTATTATTATTATTATTATTATTATTTTTTTTTTTTTTTTTTTAAATCTATGAACCAGTTCTATCTGTGTTCTTAATAAAGAATGAATTGAATTGAAATTGAAGTAGGGTTAGTGGTCGGCAGAAAAACGTGTTTCAATGTAAAACTATTTTTTCTTTGTAAAACATCCATCCATCCATTTTCTTCTGCTTCATCCTTTGCCGTGTCGCGGAGCAGCAGTTAAAGCAGAGACATGCAGACACGCAGGACCCCAAGGCCCCGTCCCAATTCTCACCCTAGCCCTTAAAATGTTAGCCTGGTGAGACCAGAATGATTCCCCTCTGTATTTTTTTATCCAGCGGGGGATCAGTCTGGTCACCCAGTCAACGCTCGCGCCTTCCGCAAAATTAATCCGTTCACGTCCAATCTGAATTGTTTATTTGCCGTGACGTGTTGTTAGCGAGCAACGTCACTCTTGCGCGGCGGATGTCCCCTCAATAACAATAGAGATGGCACACGAGAGAGATGAAAGTTTGTTCAACTCAGCGGTAAATTCGGTTTTAAATGACCAAAATCACATCAAGTCATTAAAACCCCTTAACAGCACTGGAAGCCTTTCTTTCAAAAGAAGATGTTTTTGCATTGCTTCCTACTGGCTTTGGGAAGAGTTTAATATATCAGTTGGCTCCGCTTGTTGCAAAAAAGATGTCATTATACAAAAATCCTGTTGTGGTCGTGGTGTCTCCTCTGCTTGCGCTCATGGAGCAGCAAGTAACCGAGGCCTCGAAAGTCGGAGTTACCGCAATGCAGATCGGAGTAAATACTGACGAGGAGATTTTCAGAGGCAAAGCGGAGTTGTTGTTTGGTAGCCCAGAGGCATGGCTCCTGAACGAGAAATGGAGACGCCTGTTGTCTAACCAGCAGGAGCTGGTCGGCATTGTAGTCGATGAAGTACACCTCACTTACAAATGGTAAGCTTTTCTTTTGTAACTGTGCGTAACTAAAACATCAATAAGTGTTAAGAGTGGGATGTTGTTAGAATTTACTTTTTGCTCCAACTCATTCACCACAATATGCTAATGCTTTATTCTGCGTGTGTTTTTCCTATAGGGGACTTGCCGAGAAAGGACAAAGTGCCTTCAGAGAGTGTTTTGCTAGACTTGGAGAATTGCGGTCCATTGTCAAAGCAGGTTTGTTATGTAATCAGTGCCTATTTGAGATGTTTATTTATTTTTGGGTGCAAAAATATAACATAAGCATACACATTTTTGTTTTCAATTAAATATTGCAGTTTATTAATGTCATTATAAATGTGTGTTACAGGGACACCTATTATGGCCCTAACCGCTTCTGCAGATGTCCAGTCAAGAGCCAGAGTGATAAAGCAGCTTCATCTAGAAAAGGCAGTGACTCTGATAGAAAGCCCAAACAGGTCCAACATTAGACTTGGATTGACCCATATTCGTGGACCTCACCTGGACTGCATGGACTGGATAGTACAGGAAGTCAAAGAAATGGGAATTACCATGTCCCCTGTTCTTATTTACTGTCGGACTATAAAAGAGGTTGGAAGAGTCTTTTGCTACCTAAAAGCTGAACTGGATGAAGATTGCTGGGTGGGGAGAGATCCTATGCACCAAGCAGACAATATGATTATTAGGATGTTTCACAGCAAAACACTACCACAAAATAAGACCCGAGTGCTGTCTTCTTTGAGCGGAGAAGGCAACTGTAAAGTTGTAGTTGCAACTACGGCCCTTGGAATGGGTTTGAATTTTCCTAATATTTCCCATGTGGTTATGTATGGCGTTCCAGAGGACATTGAAGCAATTGTGCAGGAAATAGGCAGAGCAGGCAGGAATGGAGAACAGTCACATGCAGTTATTTATTGCATTAAACAGTACACTAAGGTGGATCAAGTTGTCAAGGAGCTGCTAAATTCAAAAATACATGGTTGCTTTAGGAAGGCTTTGTACAGCCATTTTGACGAACAAGCCACTGCAGTCATGCCAGGTCATCAGTGTTGCACCTACTGTCACTCAGTATGCCAATGTAACCCAGAAGGTTGCCAAGAGACTACTCCTGTTTATGAACTGCCCCAAACGGTTATTCCGGCACATCATGTTAGTAGAGAGGTGGCAGACGACGACAAGGTGCTCTTAAGCTCTTGGTGCAATATCAAATGACTTTAGTTAAGAACAAAGTTTTATACACAAATATAACTGCTTGTACTGGATTTGGCTCTGAACTGATTGATGCTGTCATAGAGCACAGTAAATATATCTTTGATGTACAATATATTGCCAAGCACCTACCAGTATTTAATCAAAGTCACGCACACGCTATTCTCCAAATTATTAATGACGTTTTTGAAGACATTATAAATTGCCCAGGACCTACTTCTGCACTACCTGAAACCGTTATCTTTCCAGACATATATTACACAGGATATTTTGATGAGCCAGACATGGAGCAACACACATCGGCAAGTAGTTCAGAGTCTGGAGTCAATGTTCTTGAAGGTTCAGATTAATTTTGGATCATGTCAGCACTACTAAAGTTACACTGTTAGTGCCATGAAGGAATTTTAAAGGAACTTCTGTATTTTATCTTGTGTGACACCAAAAATAAACGATTTCTAAAGAAAAATTACCATTTACAGCTTTTTATTTAATTATATAACAAATGTATTTTAATATAAAATATAGCTCTCGTTGGACACAATTTAATAAACATGCAAATGTTCTAAATAGCAGTGCTCGTTTTTATCAAGTAGTGCAAGTAAAAGATGCATTGTCAGTAGCAAGTTCAAAGACAAACATCTACAATGTATTTGATTAAAGTGCAACTTTTCTCCAGTCTTTAATTTTTGTTTGGATCCACAGGTACAGGTCAGCGTAATTCAGTCTTTCAAGCAAGTCTTTCCCAAAAGAAGGAAATGACTGGTATTCTCTCCCTGGCTGCTCTTTGAAAATGTGTCCGTCCTTGAATATGGCCACTAGAGTTGCAATGTCTTGCTCCTCTCCTGTTGTATGGTGCACACCACTTGGTTTGGTGACCTCAAGCTCCCTGTCAGTGTTGTCCATCATTTCTTTGAGGATGCCAATGGATTTACTGATTCGGTTTGCAGAGTTCTCAGTAAGATTTGGGCCAAGACCTTTCAGAAAAGACTTAAGGTAATTGTTCATGTGCTCCAAGTGCAAGTCAAGTGGTATGTTTTTTCCTTGCCCACCTCTTCCATTCCAGAATCTGTTCCATTTTAGACTGTGGGCCATTCTCGGAGACAGTGTGACATTAAGTTGCAAAGTTAATAATAGAGTGCTATATGCATATTGGGTGTGACCATACGCCTTATAGAAAAGGAGAGCAACTTGGTATAGTCGCATTAGCCGTTCTCCATCACCCTCTTTTACTGCATCCATCATGTTCAGCAACACAAAGCTGAAGCCTAACCTTGCTTCCGAGTGCTCTTTGATGGAGTCTGGCTTTATTGTTGTAGTTGTAGAGGGTGATGGTGGGGAAGAGAGCACTAGATTGTGTTTCTTCTTTTCATGTATTTCCCTTGCATTCGAAGATGTGTATGCTGTAGTACAGTTGAGGTCACGACATTGGAATTGAGCAGTAGGTTGGCCATTTGCTTTGCAGAAGATTTCCGGCATCATGACATACTTTTCTATCAACTCAGACGTTTTATCATGAAGCCACGTCCTCTGGTCTGCTGGGGATCCAGATTCTATGTAAGCTGGAATGAAATTGTCTGGCGTATCTGTGTACACAAAAAGATTAAAAAAATTAGTTATTCTTTCACATCCATTATATTCAACATGGAAATCAGAAATGTTTGGTACTTTTACTTCATAATCACCATAAAATGTAATTAATTATTTGTACTTTTTAGCCTGTATCTATACTTTTTACACTGCTGCATTTTTAACCATATTAAAAACATCAATTAAAAGTAGAGTAAAATTATTCTTAGTAGTAGTTTTAAAGCCTGTATTTTTATGTTGACCTCTTAGTGATCTCGTTTGGGGACTCTAAAAACGCTGTAAAGTCATTACGATCAGAAGAAGATATGCTTCACGGCTCGCTTGATAGCAGCCCAATTGTTCATAAAAATACCACTCATGTAACTCTCTTAAGTTTAAAAAAACTGTGAAAAATACTTTTGGTATTGTATTTCAAAAGTAAAGACTTTGAGATATACAAACAAAAAGACATGACATGCCTGACAAATCCTTCAGCCCAAAGTGCTCCAGAGCTGCAGCCAGGAAAAGTGCGGTAGTGTCTTTCCTTAAAATTTTTTTATAGGCATCGTAAGCTGCTGTTGGGCCTTGTTTTGCATTGGAACACCTGCACACACACACACAACAATTAAGCAAAAGTATTTTTTTCTGTATTTTTCACTATTTTCTTTATGTGAACAATTCATGTTTCATAAAATACAATAACATGAGTACAACACCGTGCCTTATTCATGGTGACAGGACAGATCATTTCATTTCATGGGGCATCCAGACAATTCATGTTGTCTTGGAAGCACTGGAAGAGAATGTACACAAAAGAAAAGCGTCACAAACGTCAAGTTCAACATGCTTTGACAAACACTCTCATTCTGAATAGCACACTAGAAAAATGCATCTGTAGTTTAAAATGTACCTCAACACATTCATGTTTGAAAAAAGTGTTCCATGATCTTTTTATGAGGTCTTATTACAAAATAATTTGTAATGGATCTGTGAAATTAAAGTAAATGTCAAAGTACTGCTCGTGATTTTAAAGTATTTAGCAACCTCACAGACCTGAAAAAGATTTCTGATGGCATGCCAATCTTCAAACTTAAATGCCAATCCTTCGAGTCGTTCTTCTTCTGTAGCTCCGTCCGCAAAACCCCACTGAAGATTACGACAGTTACCCTCAGTTAGGCGGTCACCACCTACAAACACCTTTTCCAAGCCACTTGGTCCCTTTGGTACATACCTGGATAGAGAGAAGATGAAAATATGTAAAACATTGTGGTGCAGAGTTAATATTAAGGTAATTTAATTTTACTTTACTCTTTTTGAAGATACAACAGTACATCGGACAAATCCCCAGTTATGTTTTCATTTTTGAAGATCAGTCCAAGGGGGTACTGTAAAAGTAAAGTCAGTAATTACCATCCCTGCAATACATGTTTCTGCAGTGAAACACTGTGTTAAGTTCTACTTATGTCTGTGGAGTGTAATGACATTTCTTCAGAATGGTCATGCGGAATGTGATGAAAAACAATCTTGTGAAGTGGCTTTAAAACATCAAGATGTTGAGTGAGAAGTCTGCTACCCAACACTATAAACTCTCTTTGTACGTGAGCTTGTGTTTCTGATCCTGGGAGAGAGCGACTAAGATTGTAAGTGGTGAAGTCAATATCTGGCCTTACATCACTTAGGTGGCTTGTTTGAATTCGATCTTCAACAGCAATGTGATGTATCCAGTGGAGGGATGTATTGCTGGTGAGTAGTGACTGCTGGTGAGTCTTCATGAAGAAGTCTAAGTTGTCCATTATTACAGAGTATGTGGGTGGCAGCTCTGGCTGTGTGGTATAAGGTGGTGGAGAGTTCACTTCTGTAGTCTCTGAAGCTGGTAGTTGGCTTTCAGTATTGTCATCTGTAGAAATTGTCAAATTAACAACATTAGAAATTAACGATTAACGACTGTTAAGATGGCAGATTTCATTTATTTATGACCTTACGCTAAAATAATCAATGTCTGGTGGTTATTTGGAAAAGGGTATTAGGCTGTAATACGCACACTACAGTGTATTAAATAAAACATGTTTACCTGTGTGATACTTCGCCTTGCTGCAGTCTGAGTGGTAGGACTCCGGCGAATCTTCTTCACTGCTCTTGGTGTTTTAGATGGAGTACAACGTTCTCGTTTGTCACCTGATTCAGATCATAATTAGAATGATGGTCAGCGAAAGGTCTCACAATATAGGAATTTTCATCTGTGCAGTACTAGTGTTGGGGAGTAAGTAGAATACTCATTTCGTGTAACTGTATTTGGGTAAAGTTACACTATAATTTGTAAATAAATATGCGCCATTTTTACACATAAATACAATGACAATCAACGTGAAAGTATTCTAAAAACCCACTCTTGACGTATTCAAAGTATTAAGAATACAGAACTCTGATTAGCATTTTTTTTCCCAAAGTACTCTCCCCAACAAGTGATAAATAATAAAACTGTAAGGGCACTCAATTAAAAAAACAAATGAATCTCAATATATACATGTACCCTGTCCGGCAGAAGATGACCCTTCGGCTGGTGGTGGTTCGGTTGTCAGAGTGTCCTCCTCTTGTTGCCATTTCCGAAAAATAGACAAGTCCCGTTCCAAACGGCTGGTACAGCGGTGAGTCTGGATTTTTCCAGGCTATTAAAATGTACCCTTGCCCTAGATTTTGCATGTGCCCGTGGTGGTTGTAGGTTATAGGGTGAGGCGAGTGCACTCACCCCCTTAAAATAGCCACTTGCACGTGAGGGTGATCCCATGATGCATAGTCCCTTCAGCGTGTTCTGGGTCTTCCCCTGGTCTCCCCACCCAGAGGGTGGGACATGCCCAGAACACACCTCCCCAGGGATGGAACAGATGCCCGAGCCACCTCAACTGGTTCCCCTCAACTCGGAAAAGCAGCGGCTCTACTCCGAGCCACTCTGCAGAGGAAGCTAATTTTGACAGCTTGCATTTGCGATCTCGTCCTTTCGCTCATTACCCAAAGCTCATACCCAGAGGTGATCGAGGGGGCGAAGATTGACCTGTAAATCGAGAGCTTTACCTTTCGGCTGAGCTCCCTCTTCACCACAACGGTCCGATACAACAACCGCATCACTGTGATTTTCTATCGTGTGTTTTATATTCAAAACTCAAATCATAGATAATATTCCTTAAAAATGTACTATAACAACCTTTGATCTGAAATTGTCTTGGCATGGTAATCTTCAGGTTGCAAAAGATGTAGGTTCCATAGTGTAGTGGTTATCACGTCTGCTTTACACGCAGAAGGTCCTGGGTTCGAGCCCCAGTGGAATCAAGTTTTTGTATTCTGTCAGATTGTGTAAACCAGGCGTACCTCTGTTGGTAGAAGTGTGAAATATCATGCAATGTAATTGTAATTCTAACCAACACTACTTTATTATACCTATCCAACTCCACTTTAATGCAAATTCCTAATCAGCCAATCACATGGCGGCAACTCAATGCATTTAGGCAAGTAGACAGGGTCAAGAAATGGTTCAAACCGACCATCAGAATGGGGAAGAAAGGGGATTTAAGTGACTTTGAACATGGCATGGTTGACAGGCTGGTCTGAGTATTTCATAAACTTCTGATCTACTGAGATCTTCGCATACAACCATCACAACACCAACGTTTACGGAGAATGGTCCAAAAAAAAGAGAAAATATCCAGTGAGCGGCAGTTTGGTGGGCGAAAATGCCTTGTTGATGTCAGAGGTGAATGGCCAGACTGGTTTGAGCTGATAGAAAGACAACAACAGTAGCCTAGTAGCTACTGTTCAGTTGGTAGAGCATTGGCCTATGGGCCTGAAGGTCGTGGGTTCGAATCCACCACGGGACCTACTCCAACTGCTGATAATGTCTACTGTCGTTGTGTCCTTGGGCAAGACATTTAACCCCACATAACCTAAAACTCCCGCTGAAAGACCAAGGCTGTGGCACCACTGATGGAGCAGCCATCTTCCTGTGGACTCACCACCTGCAGAGGATCAGAGGGACTGGTGCTATGAGCTCTGGGTGGCAGCTAACACTCTTAGCATTAGCTATGAATATTATAGCTAATGCTGTAATAGCACCCCGACCCCGAAACCAAGGTCTGCAAGAGCCCCTGTGAACACAGAACACTCAGACCTTGAGGCAGATGGGCTACAGCAGCAGAAGACCACTCCGGGTGCCAGTCCTGTCAGCTGAAAACAGGAAACTGAGGCTACAACTCGCACAGGCTCAAATGGGACAATAGAAGATTGGAATAAGTTGGCTGGTCTGATGAGTCTGGATTTCTGCTGCGACATTCAGATGGTAGGGTCAGAGTATGGGGTCAACAACATGAGAGCATGGATCCATCCTTGTATCAACGGTTCAGGTGGTGTTGGGGGTGTCATGGTGAGGGGGATATTTTCTTGGCACTCTTTGTGTCCCTTAGTACCAATGGAGTATTGTTGCTGACCATGTCCTTTATGACCACAGTGGACTTCTGATGCTACTTCCAGCAGATAAAACACTTTGTCATTAAGCTCAAATCATCACAGGCTGGTTTCTTGAACATGACGTTCACTGCACTGGCCTCCACAGTCACAGATCTCAGTCCAATAGAGACACTTTGGGCTGAACAGGAGCATCATGGATGTGCAGCGACAAATCTGAACAAACTGCATCAAATATGGACCAAACTCTGAGGAATGTGTCCAGGACCTTGTTGAATCTATGCCACAAATTAAGTTTAAGACAGTTTTGAAGGAAAAAGGGGGTCCAACCCGGTACTAGCAAAGTGTACCTAATAAAGTGGCCGGTGAGTGTATATATTAGACTTTGTCCATGAGCACTTCCCCATTGGGCTTCATTGACTATACAGCGACGCATGACCAATGTGTTTCACGTTCGACCCCACTTTATTCACATTTGTCCAACACTTTCACAATAATTTACAGAAAACACATTTCAACTTCAAAACAAAAACATTTGGAATGACATCACAACAATAAATAATCAGCCAATCAGGAGCCAGAGCACAGAGCATACGACCAATCGGAGCACAAGGCCAATTGTAAACACAGACCCAAAATGTTCTGTCCTCAGCTTCTGTCCATGTTCTAGTAGTAGTCCTGCTAATATAATTTGTTTCACCAAAAAAACCCAGCAAAGTCTGTTTTGGAAAAAAGAATCAGGAGTTTGACTTGAACATTTCTGTGTCCCATCTAGTCAAGAGTCCTGGTTCTAGTCCTAGTACTGACCCTAGTCCTAGTACAAGTCTTGTAGTTCTAGTCCTGGTCCTGATTCTGTAGTCCTGGTCCTGTAGTTCTCTTCTAGGTCCTGTAGTTCTCTTCTAGGTCTTGGTCCTGTAGTTCTCGTCCCGGTCTTGGTCCTGGTCTTGGGTCTCCAGATCTTTATGTCACCATGTATTCCTGGCGCTTGTTCAGTCGCACCTGAACATGAGACAAGGGAAATATTAGAAAACGCAAAAACAACACCAACTTCACAGATTTGAATTGTATTGAATTCACTTTTGTCACATTTTTAAACATGAGTCAGAGACAGAATCCACTGCAGCGTTTTTACAGATGTCAAGCCAGACCTGAGCCAGACCAGAGCCAGACCAGAGCCAGACCTGAGCTCGATCTGAGTCAGACCTGAGCCAGACCTGAGCCAGACCTGAGCCAGACCTGAGCCAGACCTGAGCCAGACCTGAGTCAGACCTGAGCCAGACCAGAGCCAGACCTGAGCCAGACCAGAGCCAGACCTGAGCTCGATCTGAGTCAGACCCGAGTGGACTTTAGAAACCCTGCAGTCTCTAGTACCTGACACACTCGCACACACAGTAGTCTCTGGTACCTGGCACAGCGACACAGCGCCCACCGCCACGTAGATCCCGGCAGCGATGAAACAGTTCACGGCCACTTGAGAATAGAGACGATAGATATTGCCAGGAGGTTCTTTACTGTAGGGCCACAAAGTACATGACCAGTCACATGACCAACACACACAGTGAAACACACACGCACACACAATAACAACAAAGCTAAACACACTCGTCCTGGATGTCCTTCTCGGTGAACGGCACGTCCTCGATCAGAATGGCAGATTTAGCGCTGAAGAAGATCCCCAGCATCGCCTGAACACAGAGAGATACACATGTTCGGTGCCCATCTTTGTAAAGTCTATTAATTCAAAATCCAAATATGACATATTCTCTTACATTTAATGAGTGAAAACAATGTGCTCCAAATAGAATGAAAAGTGATTAATCGTGTTCGTGCGCATGTCACTGAACCTTAAGATGATATTTTTTACCAGAATAAAATGTTTCAACTTCCCTTTGAGTCAGATCACATGACACCAGTCACATGATCCACCGGGAAATACTGTATTCACTTAAACAGATTTAATTCAGCAGGACCTAACTGCTCATCACTGACTTGATTTTCAACTAATGTCTGTTTCTCAGTAAAATGTGACGTATGGTTCGGGTTAATTTATGAATGAGAGCCGAGATCCGCGGCAGTTTTGACGTTCACCATCACGGCACTGCTCATAAACCTGTATTAAACCAGTTCTAGGTCTGCGTGAGAGTGCGAGCTCGCCTATGCAATGATCTTGTCAGGGATACTCACCAGCATTATCACCCCCCAAATACTGATCACGATCCCGCAGGCCGCCATCTTGGGCCCGCAGAATAGCAGAGACGGCATGGCTGGTTCCGTGCGGGTGTGAGAGGTTCCGCCCGGGTGTAAAGTGAGTATGGGCCGATGTTCAGGTCCCGGGGAGACTGTGTAATTCCGTAGAAGATGTCCCCGAGGGAGAGGACACGGGAAAGGGTCAAACCGAGCAGGGACAGGACAGAGCGATCAGCTGACAGTCTTTTCGGGAACACTCGTAAACACACGGAAAGACCCGAACGACGAGCCTGTTTTTCCCTCACTCTCGAACACAAATTCTTACTTTGCATAGATTGCGATGACAGACACGATTAGGCGTTGATGAGATAATATATCGTAATTATAGAAACGTATTAGACAAGTGATTGTGGTTGAGATGCGGGTTTGAGAACAGGAAGAGTTTTATACTACACCAGAACTGCTTTTGGGAAAAATATTGCTTCGGATTCCGTCGAAGAAATCCGGAAACTCCCGATCAAGCATCCCGCCCCTTCCCTGGTCTCAGCCAATCACAGCGCACCCGTCTCTGTGGTGCTCTTTTGTAGCATTTAGGCTAAAAATAATCAAAAATCAACATATTTAAAGGCCTCCGATGAGTTACTCCGGATCCCAACCCTGACTTTTACCCTAACGGACTGAGACGTGTGCCAATTCCAAAGGTTTATTGAGATTTTCAGCAGTTTGCGTCTCAATGGGAGCGAGCTAAAGAAGCGGGCCAGTGAGTTAGCATCACGGTGGCTAACGCAGCTAGCTCGTATCTCTGTTTTGTCCTAAACTTTCATTTTTTACAACATTTTCCTCCGAAATGACGTCTGCATCCGCGAAGGTGCGTCTCACACACATTTACCCACGTTGTTCCACGCTTTTATTCAGAAATGAGTAACATCTGCGCCTGTTTGAAGTTAAAGCTGAGGATTATGAGTCGGAGAAAACAACTGTTTACTTCTGTGAGAGCCGCATGTGACGCATCTACGAGTTTAGTTTACACTTAGCATAAGCCCTGTTTCCACCAGCCCCACTTGGCCCTACTCTACTCGGTTCTACTCATTACGCCTCAATATCTGGTACCGTATCCTAGCAACCAACCCACAACAAATCAGTATCCGTGGAAATTCCTTGGAAGCCACGGCTCACAGCAGCACTCTGACCAATCACTGTAAATTAGAATATTTTAGTACCAGCTCGGCCGGGATAGAACCAGGCCCAAGAGAGTCTAGTACAGGTTAAGCATTTCCAATAGAAACAGGGCGTTATAATGAAACATGTGAACGAAGAGCCGCGTTCTGTGTGCGATGATATATGTGTGTTTATTACACATGTGTAAGAATTGTGTTGTTGTGTATAAGTGTGTAGTAGTTTTGTAATGGTGTGTTGTGTGCAGGTGGGGGAGATCTTCTCTGCCGCTGGTGCAGCTTTCTCTAAACTGGGAGAACTCACCATGCAACTGCACCCAGTGTCTGACTCTAGTCCTGCAGGGTGAGGCTCAGACCACGATCTAGACCAGAGACCACAGACCCAGACTAGACCAGTGTGGGTGTGTCTGTGTGAGTGACATATGTTTTTGGCTCAGGGCCAAATGGACGGAGACAGAGATAGAGATGCTGCGTTTGGCCGTGAGACGCTTTGGAGACGAACTTAACAACATCAGCAGCGTCATCAAAGAGCGCACTGTGTGAGTGACACTCTGTTTGACTTTGCTCTACTTTACACTCAGTTTCTCTACACAACCTACAGTGCGCAGATCAAGAGCACGGTGAAGAGGAAGCTCTACGAGGACAGTCGAGTTCCACTGTCGTCCGATGCTCAGAAGAAACCCGTGAAGAAGACACCGACTCTGCCCTCCGCCCAACCTGCCCCTCCCTCTGCGCCCGCCCCCATACAGGCCTCACTTGCACCGCCCCCAATTAAGAAGCAGAAGACGGCAGGTCAGTCACACTCACTCTCCACACGACTGAGGAAAGCAGAAAGAAGAGCATTTTTGTGTTTCAGACGTGACACTCAGCGCACTGAACGACTCCGATGTGAATTCTGATCTTGTCGACATCGAAGGAATCGATGCCAAGAAACTCGACTTCGACCAAGGTACAGAATCAGAGAGGGAGACCAGAGAGCGTGAAGGTCATGTTTGTTCTCGTCTCGTTTCAGAATCCTTGAACCTGGATTCCAGCCTCATCATGAACTCCAGTGACCTCCCGCTGCTCTCCCGCTGACCGCCCTCCCCTCTGCTTTCCTGCTAACTCCCCCCTCAGAACACTCAGTGCTGAAACTGTATCGTAGAGCTGCGGCGATGGGCTTGCATTGGGGGTTGTGACACTGCTTCTCCCAGACGTTATAAAGACACTTTTCACGTTTCATTATTTTTAATTAGCTTGTACCACAGTGAGACTGCAGGTGGCGCTGGGGACTCGTGAATAAATGCGTTCTACCAGAGAGCGCCAATTTTGAACCTTGAGGTCTCTTCACATATTATTTTTTATTTTTTTTTTTTACACAAAAAAATATTTGAAGAATGAGACAAATATTTCATAAAAAATACAATGTTTTTATCATAAAATAGAATTATTTACAGAAAGTACTGTTTCCTCTGAGGCTTTCCCTTCGTTTGGTGCGGATGAATGTGGTGACACTTCCTGTGGGCGGAGCCAAGGAGAAAGTGATGTTTCCTGTGGGCGAAGCCCAAACTGGATTCATGAGTTCTAACATCCAGGAGTTTGTTACAAATAAACACTCAATCTCATCTCTGTCTCAAGAATCTCAAGATGAGGGCGGGGCCAGAATAGTTTTCACTGTCAGAATTACCCATAATGCACCATGATCAACAACGTGAGTTTAGTTTTCAGTAAAATACAAACAGACCTGAAGCCTCAAAATCATTTACATAAATTATTTACAAGTTAAAACTCAGATCGGCAGAAGTGAGAATCCAGATGTAACTGAACATGTGACATCACACGTTTACAGGTAATGTGACTTTGACAACAGTAAAAGCGGATGTCCTTGTTTCCTTATGATGACAAACCGGAGCACCTGGAGAAAACCTGTGGCCAATGCACAGCCGTCAAAGTGAGTTTAAAGCTGGGGTATAACTTTCAGAGCATACCCATAGAACTCTGTAATAAACCCATGTCTCTTGTTACTAATCCCAAAGTCAAATAGCGACTAAAAGGGCAATTTCTCACACAAAAAATAACATGTTTTAATTTCTGGCCCTTCGATCAAAATAACTCGCCATTTTATGAGCAGGCTTCAAAAATCACCTCCAAAAAAGGTCAAAGGGTTAAAAAGAACAGCATGCAATGGTCTGAGACTCTTTCCATTTGACAAACTGTTACGTACCCCAGCTTTAACTCAAAGGGATAATAATAATGTTTGAGTAAAATTGCACATATAAATCTCAATTATGACAAAAATGAAAGGACTCGAACCCACATCCTCAGCAGAATCAAATTCTGCAGAAGACTACATCCTTTTGAGTTAAAAATAACGTCCTTCGTTCCTGGCTATGTTTCCCACAATCCCCTGCTCTGACTCAATAAAATCATCAGTTTCAGTCCGATCAGGAGCTGGGGGACGGGGATTAATGCTGCGGTGATGAAAACGACAACGAAGAAGATTCCGAGGCCTCAGCACTGAAGAGAAATCAAGATCGGGTTTAGACTGGGTCCAGTCCTGGGTCAGTCCTGGTCAGTCCTGGTTCAGACCTGACTCCGGTGATGAACAGTTTCTTGGGCGGTGCGTCTGATTCCACTCCTCCTGAAACACACGACAAACTGGTTCAAACTAGTGTTAGCATTGGCCGTCAGACTTAGAGGGTGCAGTTCCTCACCTTTCCTCTTGAGCGGCGCTGTAGGCCCCCTGAGCGTTGGCCTGAAGCTCCTGCGTGTAGGACTGGGGGAGGAGTTAGGAGTGACACCAGAGTCCTGCAGGGGGCGCCACTGCAACACACACAGACAGACACATATAGGTTTGGTGGTTTCTCATCTGGTTCACTAAACGCACCCTTAGACAAGAAAGTTGTTGTGTGTTACAGTGTTTCCGTGGCTCCAGTGAGTCCCTGCCACTCCGCTCGCCGTCGACGTGCTGCAGACATAACAATACATAAGGATCTGGGTCCTGGATCTAGACCGGGTCCAGGTGGTGGACCAGGTAAAAGGTTTCAATTGACCCCTGCTGGTCAATTGAGGGATTACACCAATTTACCTGAGGCGCTGCAGGCTTCCCCTGAGAGCAGAGCTGAAGTCCTCCTGAAAGACGGGATCAGGTCTGAACAAGGTCTAAAGAAGGACTAAAGCAGGACTTAAGCAGGTCTCACTCACATGTCTCTTGGCTTCTGTTCGCTCTGAGTTCAGGGGGAACGGCAACAACAGCTGCACAAACAAAACAAACAGACCTGAGCCACAGACCTGCAACAAAATGTTTCCATCTGGTACAAGGTCCTGGTCCTCGCCCTGTCCTGGTCCTCGCCCTGTCCTGGTCCTCGCCCTGTCCTGGTCCTCGCCCTGTCCTGGTCCTCGCCCTGTCCTGGTCCTCGCCCTGTCCTGGTCCTCGCCCTGTCCTGGACCTCACCCTGTCCTGGACCTCACCCTGTCCTGGACCTCACCCTGTCCTGGTCCTCACCCTGTCGTGGTCCTCACCCTGTCCTGGTCCTCGCCCTGTCCTGGTCCTCACCCTGTCCTGGACCTCACCCTGTCCTGGACCTCACCCTGTCCTGGACCTCACCCTGTCCTGGTCCTCACCCTGTCCTGGTCCTCACCCTGTCCTGGTCCTCGCCCTGTCCTGGTCCTCACCTTGTCCTGGACCTCACCCTGTCCTGGACCTCACCCTGTCCTGGTCCTCGCCCTGTCCTGGTCCTCGCCCTGTCCTGGTCCTCACCTTGTCCTGGACCTCACCCTGTCCTGGACCTCACCCTGTCCTGGTCTTGAGTCATGTCAAGAGTGATGTCACACATGATGTCATTCATACATAAGCGTGTCATGTGACCTGCGACTGGCCGCTGGGGTTGAGTGAAACGCTGCTGCGTCTGAACCGGGCTGAGGAGCTGAAGACCGAGGAGCCGTCGCTATGGAAACAAGAAACATCATAATCACTCTACTTCAAACATGAACAGTAAATATGTGAAACTACAGCTGCACCTAGAGCTCGCAATCATGGGGGCGCTGTTGGATCTGCGCAGTGGCCCCGCCCCCGCCGCACTTGGCTCCACCTCCATCCGCTCCATGAGGCGCCGCCGCGGCGCGCAGAGCAAACACAGCGTCTGCCGCGCCGGCTGCACGCTCACCGCATGTCCTCCTGGAGCACAGCAGGGGTCAAGGGTCAAGGGCTAGACACACGGGAGGCGACAAATGAGAGCGATGAGAGGCGATGCGATGTCGCCTCCCGTGTGTCTAGCCCATCATGGGCTCGACACACGGGAGGCGACATCGCATCGCCTCCATTCATTTTCAATGGGACGTGCGCGACATAGCGTCAATCGCCAGCGAGCCTCCTGCTCAGCGACGGGCGAAAAACGTGCGTGTGAAATCCTCCCGCTCGTGCATGTATCGTGCACGCGCAGGTCAGCGACGCGATCCCAGAAAGTTGAAATCGGCTCAACTTTTTGACGCTGTCGTCAAGCCGCATCGCGCCCCGTCTGTCATGTTATCTGAGCGACAGCGTTGAGTTTCGCTGATCGCTCTCATTTGTCGCCTCCCGTGTGTCTAGCCCTTCAGGCGGGAGGGACAAGAGTGAGCGACGGTTACTGTGGAAGCCATCTTTTGTTTCCAGAAAACTTATGTGAAGTTCTGTCTTCTCTGGTAATGTGTGCAGCTTAAGTGTTGCTCCTTGCATTTAATTGTTCAAATGCAAATTATGGGTAATTAAAAAAATACATATATTATCACAGCGACTAAGCAAAATGTTCCATTAGTGATACATTTCCATTTTCATGTGTGGAAGACGTTCACAGACGCTCCTTTCTTTTATAGATAGATTCTGAACCTAATACTGGGGTAAAATACTGTACAGGTCTGTGCTTGATGTATGAGAACCATATGGACACAGCTAATGATAGTGATTCTGTTTTCCTAATTTAGTTCTGAGTTCACGTCAGTTTGTGGACTATGGACTGCAGATAAAGTACAAACACTGAAGTTTTTCAGGACATTTAAAGGCCCGTTAGTTCGTGAGACTTTCACATAAGAGTTGTTAACCTCCACAGAGCTGATGCGTAACTACGCGTTACCATGACGACGCTCTCAGAACTCACCTCAGATTAGCTTTAGCCTCGTTAGCCCTAGCCTCGTTAGCGTTAGCACTGCTAGCTCCGCGGCTAACTGCTGAAGCTCCAGTCACAGCTCCGCGGGAGGCCGGAATACGCAGCTCTGGGGCGGACACGGGGCTCGGGGAGTGTCGGTGAATCTCTGGAACTCTTTCACAACGAAGCGGAGTCCGGACGGGAACCGAAACACGCTGAAACCCCGAGTTTACGCGCTTTTTCCAACATAGTCCTCAGCAAAGTGTTGTCGCCGAAGCCGAGGAAACAGCGCCGCGCTCTGGGCACGAAGAGGACTGCACTTGAGGCACTAGAGGCAAATGTCTGCGTAAACCATGGATCTGTTGTAACACTTAAACGTGGTAAAGGGTTCAACTTTAAACTCACGGGGTCAGGACGTGTATTTTATGGGAACAAACGACTTTGAAAAAATATTTCATTGTGAGAGTAATATAATGCATTGGTGTTCTACAACACCCAAAGACACAGCAATGGTGATAAACTACTACTGTGGCCACAGCTCCTACTATCACCAACCATTCACACATACACCAGACTCAAGCTAATGAAAGTGAAGTGTCTTGCTTAAGAACACAAAGACAGTTTGGAACTATACAGCCGCGTCACTGCGCGGCACCTCGTGTTCCACGAGGTCTCCCATCACAGTAGTAACCAGGCCCTGCCCTACATTGCTGTAAAGGTCTGGACTCATGTCCTTTGTCATTCCACTTTGTAAGATCGATAATATTGTAAAATAAAAATACACAATGTGATTACAGATATTGTTTCAGAATGCATTGAACCAACATTTAAATGCTCCGCCACCGGAGATACATGAGTGACCAATAGGAGACGCTGTGGAGCAGCAGACAGTCCAGGTATGGTCAAAAAATAAATACGATCAATGTGTAATTCAGCCAGTTTCTGTTCATGAGACTGCAGCGATCGCCTTTGTATCATTTATTCCAGCACTAAAATAACTTACAACAATCCCATTTCCCATGGCGCACAGCAGGATTCAGCGTCTCGCATTTTGGCACAGATGTAAACTAATTGCAGCTTGTTAAGAGTTTCTCACATAAGTCACGAATCAGATCTAAGTGGAAACAAAATGACCCATGGAGTAGGACTGGAGCATGACTGCTGACTTTGTCCTGTAGGAAATGTGCTGCGTCACTTTTTAGAAAGACTCAAACATAGTAATGAACACAAGAAGCGGTTGAATTCAGCAGAACTTTATTGAAGCTGTGAAACGATTCCAAAGCGAAAAAGACTTTATTTCAACTCAAATAAAAGTTAACTCAGGTTCCATCTCAGTGGCATTGGCCAATCAGCTGCGAGGATGCTTACCTGCAGGAAATGCAGCGGCCAATGGGCTTAGAGCAAATATTCACAACAAAAAGACCAGGAAGTACCAAAAATACTTTAATCTCATTTGTATAAATTAAGTCCTGTACAACAGAATTAGACAAAAGTGTCAAAGCGTGAGGCCCCGCCCCACGCCGTAACCACGACAACATGCCGCATTAGCAACTGCTAGCTATTAGCAGGCTCTTCTTTCACAGTCACTTCCTGTTTGATTTCAGAGTCCACTTCCTTTTTGACAGAACACGAGGATCCACCCACATCCTCAGTTTTAACTTTAATGTCTTCCGCACTAAGTAAGCTCAGTGGGTTCGTCGTACTGAGCGTGCTCAGTGGGTGCTCAGTCAGCAGTTTGTTTGGAGACGGAGTGACGTCCAAGTACGAAGACTGCAACAGAAAGAACAGAGTTAAGGATCAAACCTGGGCCACACAGAGGTTAGCAACACTTTCAGCCACCTGCTTAAAGTGTTTTAAAACATTGATATTCATTTTCTACAAAGTGGCTGCACTCAGGTGGTTTCATTTTTGTGAGGATTTCTCCTGCTTTAGCAACAACACTTGCTGTAGCACAAAAAGGTTTATAGGACATGAGCCTCTTGTGTGACTATGAGCTGCAATAGGGAATTTCTCCATTGTGAAAATACTAAAATCCTTTTTTATTATAAAAACAAACCTTATTGGAAGTGATAAGCATTCCCAAACCAGGGAATACTTTCTCTGAGTTTTTTAAAATACCAAACCAATGACACAAGCCTTTATGTTTCAAATCAGATGACGAGGTCAGGTTTTCCCAAACCAGAGAACCCCTTTCCAAACCAGTCACATGGTTCAGAACGAGTCTTATGGGGCGTTCAGACCGCCAACGCTTGAACGGAACTTCCTCGTGCACTGGACGCACATTCACTAAATTTCAGACGCAGAATGAAGTCCTAACCCTGCGCATGACGGAAGCAGGGCGGAAGTGGTGAGCAGGCTTTGTGTGGATTTAAGAAAACCGAAGGATTTGAGAAGAAAAAACGTTCAGGATGACAAGTGGCATAAAATCCCCACAAAATCCGACCTTTGTGAAAGTTGTTCTGTCAGCTGAGGTCGAGCTGTGGGTAGCCCACATGCATTTAGTCTGCAGTACCACAGCGCCCCCTGTGCCAATGGGTGGTACAGCTATAAGCTGGTAATACCCTATTCAGTTATTATAGAGCCATGATGTGGCCGGCAGAAAAAGTTCAGAAATGTCCATCTCCTGCTGCGACGCACATGCAGTTCCACGCTCGAACGAACGTCACCATTGACTTTGCATTGAAAATTGCCGCAACGCATGATCCGGTCTGAATAAGGTCAACTCTGACGTGAGCAAACCACGCTTCACTGTGAGGCCGCAATGATTACTAAGGGTTGGAATCCAAGAGGCTGCGATTCGATTTTAAACGATTATAGATGCACTTTTTCCACATTTCCAGAGTTAAATAAATGTCCATTACATTTTATTTTGTTTAATATGTTAGAAGGGCAATAAATTGAAAGTCAATGTTTACAAGTGTGAGATGTGTCTTTGTAAAATGAGCAGCAGCTTAATGGATAATGTGCGGCGGACAAACGACGTGAGCGCAGCGAGAGAGTGTGAAAAGTACGAAGCGACCGGAGCAGATGATCTCACAGCGAGGGGTTGGTGAGCTCAGCTTTGCTCCTTTTGTTTTTTATGGAGGACTGAGCTGTAGATGCTCTCGGTCCGTTCCCTGTAGCGTTTCGAAGACCGTGCTTACTGTATTTCAGTTCCCCTTTACTCAGCCGATTTAAATAATCGGAATTTGGATGTTTGTGAATCATTCTTGATTCTTTCACGGCCGAATCAAAATCAATCTAAGAATTGGAAATTTCCCACCTCCTCTAATTATTACTTATTATTACTTAACACACTGAATGAAAGGCTTTGAAACACCTTTCATTCATTCATTTCACCCATTACTACACACAGGACACACACACACACAGGGGACACACACACACACAGGACACACACAGAGGGGACACACACACAGAGGACACACACACACACAGAGGGGACACACACACACACACAGAGGACACACACACACAGGACACACACACACAGAGGACACACACACACACAGGACACACAGAGGGGACACACACACACAGGAGACACACACACACAGGGGACACACACACACACACACACAGGACACACACACACACACACACAGAGGACACACACACACAGGACACACACACACAGGACACACACACACACAGGACACACACACACACAGGGGACACACACAGAGGACACACACACACACAGGGGACACACACACACAGGGGACACACACACAGGACACACACACACACACAGACACACACACACAGGACACACACACACACACAGGACACACACACACACAGGGGACACACACAGAGGACACACACACACACAGGGGACACACACACAGAGGACACACACACACAGAGGACACACACACACAGGGGACACACACAGGGGACACACACACGGGACACACACAGGACACACACACAGGGGACACTAGTCTAAAGCAGGACTATTCTCCAGACCGGGTTTGTTGTACTTACTTTCTGATAATCTTCAAAACACGCCGGGTGAAAGTTCTGTGGAGAGGCAGATGGTTACTGTAGCAGTAGTAAGAGCAGAAAACAGTACGAGTAGTACGTAGTAGTAGTAGTAGTATTATAGTACTTTAAAGTAGTAGTACTAATATTAGTCCTCTCTACTATTATGTAATCTATTTGTACCTTTTCGTCCACACGGAGGGCATTTCTCAGAAACCAGTCTTCCTCCTCCTCCACCCAGTACGTCTCAAAGGGCTCCTGGCAGATCTCACACAGCTGCAAGAACACAGGACTGTCAGACTCCACAACGAACAGAGGGGGCTCAGGTGAAGCTGGGCTTACTGCTGTCACTTTTCTGTCTGAAGTGACTCAGGCCAAGCACATGAAAACAAAGTGATACAAACGTTGATATTTTATCAGTGGATATTTACGTTAGGCAGTGGTGCGAAAGAAGGGACAGAATGTAAAAGCCCGTCCCAATTTTGAGGGCACTTAAGTTGTGAGTGCCCTCAGCAGAAGAGTGCCCTTCCATAGGTGAGTGCACTCAGGATATTCTCCCTAAGAAATGGGACACCCCTGAATCTAGAGGACAATATGCAGATTGACGCATCAAACGTGTTCCATGTCACACGCATCAACGTGTCTGATTTCACCACAGAGAGACTTTATGAAAGTATTTATTAAAATCAGATGTTTAGATGTTTTTATTTGTATTTCATGTGAAGAAAATTAGCTATAATTAGGTACAGGACTGCTCCATATCACGCACACATGTAAGAACACACACCCGCACACACAGACAGACAGACGCACACACAGACAGACAGGCACACACAGACAGACAGACAGACAGACAGACAGACAGACAGACAGACAGACAGACAGACAGACAGACAGACAGGCACAGACAGACAGACAGACACAGACAGACAGACAGACAGACAGACAGACAGACAGACAGACAGACAGACAGACAGACAGACACGCGCGCGCATGCCCACAGAGACAGACGAGTACAGCCGCGATGATGCTGTCTCCAAACTACATCATGGAACTATAATAATATGAATCCACGTCTCTGAAGCGTCAGTGAAGACCGCACGCTATGGCCGCTTTGCGAGCGAGCATCGCCACACAGCAACAAAACACGATAAAAAAAAAAAAAAACCTTAATTACTCACACTTCAAAGCTTCCACCACATACTTGCGCCCGGCTGTTTAACGCGTTTTATGTTTTCTCATTATGACGTGGCTTTGCCCGACCGCTACTAAACAAACTTTGCTACTGCATAATGGGATCACCCTCACTTGTGTGCGAGGGTGGTTTTTAAGGGTGTGAGTGCCCTCGCCTCTGCTCTCTAACTATTGGGACACCCTACAACCCTCGCAGGCACGCGCAAAATCTAGGGCAGAGGTACATTTTAAGGCCTACAGTGAGAATTGGGACGGGCCATTAATCTTACCATTAAGTGGAGAATTAAGGGAGTGTCTATTTTCTAATGGGTGTCAATTTTGAGGAAAATATCTAAAAAGCAGCGTAAGAAATACTTTAGCATTAGCAGCCGACAGTTTTCACTTCACTGATGCTCAGAGAATGAACCTTACAAAATGCTGTCTTTTTGTAAGGTTAAAAATACACATACCAAAAGGTTTTCTCAAACCAAGTTTTTCTTATTAAAAAATCTAAAAGCAGGCGTTACAATCCAAGTTCTATCATAAAACCTTGTCATCTAGCCATGTTAAAAGAGCGATTTTTATGTCCAATGTCTTCCACAACTATTCGGACCAGGGTCTGGGACTGTTTGGACCAAGGTAAAGTCTGAACTCGTATCTGAGCTCTGTACCACGAGATTCAGCTGCATTCAATAGCTTAACTGCAGTCCCCCCTGTTAAAGGAGCTATACCTGTTTCTGTAAGGTTTGAATGTTTAGCTTACAGCAAGAGGAGTTATAGCTAATTCTGCTAACATGCAACTGTGTTTAGCAGCGCTAAAGCTAGAGGACGCGGCCTGTTCGCTCCTCGTTCTGTAAGTGGAAGAGAACGAGCGTCACGCCAAGTCCCTGCTCAGCACTTTAAGGCCTAAACTCACACACAGCTGAATCAATGAGCTCAAGTTTTATAAATAAATTATGGATTATAATACAACTTGTATGTAGTAATACGCATTTTAATGAACTAATGAAAAAAAAAATCGGGGTATAGCTTCTTTAAGCAGTGATGAACTTATTTTCATTCATAGCTCAACAAATCACCAAAATGACAATAAAGGGTCATATTTCTCGTCTCAAATATTAAAAGCATCTCAGACGTGGTTCTGAATCACGTCTGAGATGCGCAGCGAAGCGGACCCAGACGCGTGCTTCGCCCTGTTGGTACTTATTTTCCGATAATGACCTGCGTCATATACGTTATCCCTTACTTAACACATTCACGGACGTTTCCAGAATTTGTCGTCAACGTTTTCATGACGAAAATACTATTTTAATGTGACAAAAAGCGACCGCGAAAAACCCAGAAGTAACCATTAAAATGAAACGAACATTTATGACACATTAGAAGAGGATCTGATGGATTTAGGTTCGGTATATACAGTGCCTTGCGAAAGTATTCGGCCCTCTTGAATCGTTCGCCACATTTCAGGCTTCAAACATAAAGATATAAAAATTACATTTTTTGTCAAGAATAAACAAGTGGGACACAATCGTGAAGTGGAACAAAATGTATTGGATAATTTAAACTTTTTTAACAAATAAAAAACTGAAAAGTGGGGCGTGCAATATTATTCGGCCCTTACGCTAAGACTTTGTAGCGCCACCTTTTGCTGCAATTACAGCTGCAAGTCGCTTGGGGTATGTCTCTATCAGTTTTGCACATCGAGAGACTGGAATTCTTTCCCATTCTTCCTTGCAAAACAGCTTGAGCTCAGTGAGGTTTGATGGAGAGCGTTTGTGGACAGCAGTCTTCAGCTCTTTCCACAGATACTCGATTGGATTCAGGTCTGGACTTTGACTTGGCCATTCTAACTCCTGGATACGTCTATTTGTGAACCATTCCATTGTAGATTTGGCTTTATGTTTTGGATCATTGTCCTGTTGGAAGATAAATCTCCGTCCCAGTCTCAGGTCTTTTGCAGACTCCAACAGGTTTTCTTCCAGAATGGTCCTGTATTTGGCTCCATCCATCTTCCCATCAATTTTAGCCATCTTCCCTGTCCCTGCTGAAGAAAAGCAGGCCCAAAGCATGATGCTGCCACCACCATGTTTGACAGTGGGGATGGTGTGTTCAGGGTGATGAGCTGTGTTGCTTTTACGCCAAACATATGTTTTGCATTGTGGCCAAAAAGTTCGATTTTGGTTTCATCTGACCAGAGCACATTCTTCCACATGTTTGGTGTGTCTCCCAGGTGGCTTGTGGCAAACTTTAAACGAGACTTTTTTATGGTATTCTTTGAGAAATGGCTTTCTTCTTGCCACTCTTCCATTGTTGTCCTATGGACAGACTCTCCCACCTCAGCTGTAGTTATCTGCAGTTCATCCAGAGTGATCATGGGCCTCTTGACTGCATCTCTGATCAGTCTTCTTGTTTGAGATGAAAGTTTGGAGGTGACGGCCGGGTCTTGGTAGATTTGCAGTGGTCTGATACTCCTTCCATTTCAATATAATTGCTTGCACAGTGCTCCGGGAAATGTTTTTGTATCCAAATCCGGCTTTAAACTTCACAACAGTATCTCGGACCTGCCTGGTGTGTTCCTTTGTCTTCATGGTTCTCTCTGCGCTTTAAAACAGAACCCTGAGACTATCAAAGAGCAGGTGCATTTATACGGAGACTTGATTACACACAGGTACATTCTATTTATCATCATCAGTCATTTAGGACAACATTGGATCATTCAAAGATCCTCACTGAACTTCTGGACTGAGTTTGCTGCAGTGAAAGTAAAGGGGCCCAATAATATTGCACGCCCCACTTTGTTTTTTATTTGTTAAAACACTTTAAATTATCCAATAAATTTCGTTTCACTTCACGATTGTATCCCACTTGTTGATTCATGACAAAAAATGTAATTTTTATATCTTTATGTTTGAAGCCTGAAAAGTGGCGAAATGTTGAAAGGTTCAAGGGGGCCAAATACTTTCGCAAGGTACTGTAAATAGCTGACTCACCACTGATGTTCAGAATTCTTTGCTCAGTTTTCATGTAGTTCCAGAGAGAACTAGCTAGCTTAGCTGTTACCTGCCTAGCAAGTCCAGGTGAAAACTTTGGGAGCTAACTATTTTATTTGCAGTCATTAAATACACTTCGAATTATAAGGGCGGTCTAATATTTGTTCAAATATATATATATTTTTAATTTTAGAATTATATTCAAATTTTGAAGCCCTAGTGCTTCCAGACAAAAAGACTTCTATAAGCTAAAAGGTGTCCGTGTTTGTAAACTAGGGGTATAACGGTTCAAAAAAAAAAAAAAAAAAAAAATCTTTTGGATCGTACCATGGTTCAGATCACGGTTTGGTTCATTTTTCGAATCAGCAAAAAACCCCAAATGTTTGTCTTTTGTATTAACACTTAATACACATAAATACACTTAAAATGTTTAAAATCGAGTCATGTGGGGCAAGCGAGAGTGATGGCCGCACACTAGATTGCTCCCCGATACCCATCCCAATATTATAACGTTTGGGGTCGTGCTCTTCTTGTAACGTGCAGGTCTTTATTACTTTTGCTGAGCGGAAGGCTTTATGCGAGTGGCAGTCACGGGAAATATGCCTAACACCAGTAAAGTAAACTTTTTCAAAGGGGCCACGGCCACGAGGCTAACTACAAAGAGTCTAGCTAGCGCTCCTCTGCCGCAGCCCGAGGCTGATGCTAGCAGCGGAGTGTCGGGGGAGATGAGCGAAACCATGTTTGACGAGCTGAGGAAAATGAATGCTACTCTACAAACCATGGCGGCGGATGTTATTACTATTAAGGAGACGACAAAAGAATTTAAGGAATCCGTAGAAAGCATCCAGGCCCGCATGGGTGAGGCAGAACAGCGCATATCGGACCTGGAGGATAGCCACGAGCAAGCTAGCTCCAAGCTGGAGAAGTGTGATAAGAGAGTTGATGTACTGTGGTCACGGGTGGAGGACTTGGAGAACAGGAGTCGGAGGAATAATGTTCGTATCGTTTCTCTTAAAGAGGGACTGGAAGAGCCGGGGAAAATGGCCAAATATGTGGAAAAGATCTTAGGAGACGCACTCGGGCTTACTGGCGGTGAATTTGAGATTGAACGCG